GTCAATGGCTTGATATTGACTGCTAGCCACCGACTCGTGGTGGTCAGGGGTACACTCCCAGGCTGAAGATCCGTAGGTAGATGGATTTTGGATTCCGAGAGTTCCCCGTTCCAATGGGAGAGCATCACTGGATCAATGGTCGAGATGAAGAGCAGCCTGTGGCGAAGCTCTCGGAGGCTTCCACAAAGCGAATTTGCATGGAGGTCGGTCTTTCTTGGGCAGTATGCAGCGGGCAATGAGCGCATCTGATAGTAGCAGTAGCTTTTGAAAGCGCGCTGGGAGGCTTCACATGCCCTTGAATCGTGCGGCGCGCCTCTCTTCCTCCCTCTTGTCCTCCATGCGACCCAGGAAATCCATACGGCCGATATAACCCTCCTTGGCTTTGCTGTGGGTAAGAAGCTCGTCTTTGATACCCGCCTGGTCGACATAATTGGCCCAGTCGAGTCTCGATTTTTCCACAGTATTGATTTTGGGTCCGCGTGCATCCTTGTCCTCTGTAACGAGCTGCTTCTCCCAGCTTTTCTTGATCGTGCCTGTTGGGTTGGGGTCGAACCGCGAGATCTTGCGAAGGGGTCGGCGCAAGTTAAGAGCGGCCTTTGCTGTCGCGATATCATCCGCATCGGCATATTCGACATTCTCCCCACTTGATAAGAACGCTTTAGCCTCTGCTGAGTGTTTGGACACCACCTTCTCCTCTGTGATCCACTCCCCGGCAAACTTGTAGGTGCGCTTGATCTTGATCATCTGATCGCCGTGCGGCTCATGACTCGTTTTGTCCTCCGTATCCGGGGCGGTCTGGTCTTGCGCTTCTGTATTCGTGGTTGGGTTCGGTTCGGGAGTAGGATCGGCTTCTTGGGTTTGGGATGGCTGCAAGCCGAGGTTGCTGTCAGGGGCGTTCATCTGTTCCCATAGGGCGTCCACATCCACGGTCGCGCCATCGATTTGGGCTAGAGGTTTGCGTTCTGCTTCCTCTTCTCGTCTGTTCGATAACGCGCATTAGCACTCAGTGTAACGGGCGGTACATCATTCAAACGCAAAAGCTTACGTATGCTTTTTCATTGCGCGCGTTCGCACAAAACCTCCAGTTCCTCCTTCATCGTCGTCAAGGTCAATGTCATCGTCCTCGTCGCTGTCGCGCGCGCGTTTGCCCTTGGACTTCTTTCCTTTGCGCTTCCTCTCCTTCTTCTCTTTCGCTTTGCGAATTGTAGCTTCATCTCCAGAATCAAGTTCCTTGTCCTCTGGGATCTGAGCTTTCGTAACTGTCTTCCGCTTCTTCTTTGCAGGTTCGGCGGACTCCTCGGCATCGGAGGAGGATAAGTCGGAGTCGTCCTGTGCCACATCTAGCTGGAAATCTTCATCTTCGGCAGAGTTGTAGGCCTCCTCGTCAGGATCCTGGACTGGTGCTGTATTGTGTGACATTTTCAGCAGCTTTTGTGTTGGTGAGAGGATGGGGAATGGCGAGATACAGGTGATAAAGTTCTGCCAGGCGGTGTAGCTATTGTGGGTCTTGGCTCAGACTGCGCAACGTTTCTATATTGAGCTCCTTCGACATGTCGATAAGTGATACCATATATGTACTAATAGAGGATTGGGAGGTGACCATTACTATGTCACATGTATATTGCTACATTACCACTCTGTAGATAGATAAATAATACAAATGTGTTCAATTTAGCGGCTAAACAAAATAGAAAACAAAGCCAGATCGATAGTGACAGAAAAGCATCAGCCTAAGAAGTCTTTGAAGATATAAGTCAACGAAAGGTCATCTGAGAGCCAATGACAGAGCAGCTATCTTGACATAGCTGCCAACCAAAAAAAAAAAAGGATAGGAAACAGAAGCATGAAAACAAGACCAGATGAAAGAGCAACACTAGTATTCGTCGTCTTTCAAACAAATCAAGCCCCTTATTGGAAAATTCGCTCTCAGATTCAACTTCATTGTTGATCGCTTTGATCTCTTGAATATCCTTTCATAGTCGTGCGTCTCTATCCACTTCATCCAGTAAAGTCGATCAAGAACATCTATAGTCCAATGCTTCCAATCCCATTCCAACGTCAAGTCTACTTTGATTTCTTTTCAGTTGTTCAAGTCCCATATTTATATCAAATGGTGTCTCATTTCGAGCTTTGGGCCTTCGCATTGAATGAATGAATGTAGCCCATCTGGAAGATCCCGACAAGGGTTAGAACATGGCTTATCCACTTGGAAACTCCAGACACATGTGTCCTAGTGCTATGGATCTCGAGAATGGCTACGGGTGACATTTTCGAGTATTGAAAAAGGGCGAAATGGTTTCGATGAAGATGGTGGGCTTGGATAAACAACTCTTATTCGTTATTACTGAGAAGTGAGAGATTGTCATGTCCAAAAAATGTGAGACACCTTAAACTTTATAAGTGAACTTGAATTGAGCGTCATTTATCAAATAGTGGTATGTGGTTCCGCCGGAACAGCGTAGTGTTCGTTGCTCACCTCTTTCTCCCTGAAGCTGCAGTGATATCAGCCCTATATGTACCTGCATATGATACAACCAAGAGCAGCTTCCTAGCAGTGGGATGGGTAGAGCTCATCGTAAGGGTGATGGAGAACATATTCATATGTTTTTAACATGAAGAAAGCTATATACTCGTAGTATGCTGAACTACAGTAACTCCCTAGCAGATAACGATCCTCATAATTCTGTTTCTGTGATTCGAGAGAAAATAAACACTCGAGCAGTGTCGGAGCTCTCTCAATGCCATCGATTCCTCTGAACAACCAGGAAAATCTTAGAAGACATTGCAAATACAACGGAGACCTACCCAAACGCATGGTTTGATATGACATATTAAACTTTCTTTTTCTGTTAACGAGCTCGTTTCTTCGGAAAAGCACAATAAGACTTTACAATGTATGGAATCGGCATTATATCAAAGGGAACCTGCCAAAAGAGACAAAATCACGAGCCGAGACCTAAAAGATACCTCAGCGACAACTTATGCCCAGCATAAATAAGTAGGACTATACATCATTCATTCATACGTGACCATCAAGCCGACAACACCACGCTTACCCAGCACTAATTTCGAATCACACCACTGAACCCATACCTCAAGTCCGAGAGTGCTTAGTAGCAACCTCCAACTTCTCAAGCTGGAACTGCGCCTCCCGACGACGAGAGACGTCTCGCTGGTACCATGTACCCACGGCAGCAACGACACCTATCAACACCTCCATCCCAACCAGCATGCACAGCAGAACAAAGGCAGCCCGGGTATTGAGACAGTCACGGTCAAAGTGAGTAGGTGTTTTGGTGGTGCTCGTTCCGGTTTTCCATTTACAGGTCCAGCTGTGAAGGGTTTCGTTCTTACTGAAACCTGCTGGGTAGTTTGATGACGGGAGGTATTTTGTGAAGAGGATTCCGACTAGGGCTGTGACGAAGCCTGCTAGAGCTGAGGCTGAGGCATAGATGTTTAGTGGCTTTATGCGGGAATATGGCTGGATATGGGTTAGCACATGGTTTCAAATACGGGTATGTAGTAGGAAAGGCAGAAGACTTACCGACGGTAGGAGGGCAGCTGCAATATACACCAAGTTCAGTGCGGTGATTATACAACCACAGACTAGAGCTGCGACAGTTGGACGAATATCGAAGTTCAAAGGCCACAGGGCAAGGCCGGCATTTGCCCACTGGGAAGTCCTTTTGTAATGTCGCAAGGGTGGTGCTTCACAGGCGACGACGGCAATTGCAACGCCAAAAGTCAAGAATGATAGTCCAAGACGAGCAAAGTGGACGACCCGATTGCGCTTCAGGAATGTTGATTCCTCCATGTCCGACGAATAAGCACGGCCTGATCCGGCGAGAGACGAGGTTGAGGCCATGATGGGAGAAAGAATGTCGAAACGCGTGATACAAGAGGGGAAGAAAGCGTTTGTAACTTGACCACCTTGCCGGCAAGGACTGGAATATCGATATGAAAGAACGAAACCCCTCGGGGCAAATAAAAAGAAAGAAAGAGTAGGACAGGTAAATGCTTCAACTTCGTCTCAGAAAATAAGCAACGGAGACAAGGTCGCATATCTATATTCATAGGCAAATAATACCGGACTAGTTCAGGAACTGCTTTAGCGAGCGCTCTGCTATCACAAATGGGGTCAACAAATGATCATCACTCCTGAAGACGATATTCCACCATGGTTTCCGCATAAAGCCATGCAGGGCGCCTCGACGGGTCCTCGTCCGTGCTGATTCGCCTCAGGAGCAGAATTAGATTCTCAGGGCTGTCAGTGCAGAATTGTAAACAATGGGCTTGCTGGCTTGTACACCCCCATAGTATTGGAAGTCTGGGCGGGCGCCAGCTTGCAGACTTGGCAGAGACTATGGGTGGACAAGCACCGACGAACCGCCTCGCCGAGTCAAATATAGACATCCGAGCGGGATTTGTGTCACCAGTCAGTGGTCAATAGGGGGATTTCATTTGTCTCTGTCAAATTTGGGTTTCTGGGGGTCTGGTGATCATGCTGTGTGATAGGACGCGTCGAAGCGCCCGGGATTGTGGCAGGGAGCCACCGGCGGTAAACTTGATAGTTTAGGCACAGTCGTGATGAACTTGCTTACTGGAGGCGTTCCTGCATCTGATGAAAAATCATCTGGACCTGGATGATGTGTACTGTTTTAGATGCTCCCCGAGTACTACCCCAGAGTATACCCAGACTGTTTTGGCTGCTCTCGATTAGGTGTGTCGAGAGGGGGTTGTCGCGGAGTAATCCAGAAGACTACTTTTGTACCAGCCTGGCTTCATATTTCTCAGACTCCCATGTATACCTGATACATTGAACTTGAAGAGATGTGACGTGCAAAGATGGCGGGGATTATCGGATGGAACTGGGGTCACCGCCCGCGGCAGAATCCAGAAAAATTGGCGGGGCAAAGAAGATCAACTCTGTTGTGCGTTCAGGCAAACTTCATAGATTTTGCAATTGGCTGTGGTCTCGAATTAACACATCACAACTCACAATGCCCCTTTCCAAGCTGCAGGGCGTCAAGCTCCCTGCTTCGGCCGACTTCCATGGTACTGACCATTCCGGGGAGAGGACTATATGATTGATATCAAGATGCATGGAGCTGACCAGGGATAGTCCACCTTCGTGATGGCCCAATGATGGAGCTGGTGACTCCCACCATTCGTCAGGGAGGCGTGAACACCGTTTTTGTCATGGTAAGGGCATTTGTTATTCGAACAGGTTCATTCATCTGAAGCTCTATCTAATGCCATTGATAGCCTAACCTGGTGCCACCCATTACCACCGTCGACCGTGCCCTGGACTACCAGAAGAGCCTACAGGCTCTCGAGCCCAATGTCAACTTCCTCATGTCGCTGTACCTCCACGAGACCGTGACCCCGGAAACCATTATCGAAGCTAAGAAGCGCGGCATCACTGGCGTCAAGAGTTACCCGGCCGGTGTGACGACCAATTCCTCCTCCGGTGTCGTCGATTATACCCAGTTCTATCCCGTGTTCGCAGAGATGGAGAAGCAAGAGATGATTCTGAACCTGCATGGCGAAGCCCCCTCAGGTGAGGACGTGACGGTACTGACAGCCGAGGAGCGGTTCCTTCCTAAGCTCTTCGAGCTGCACGAGAAGTTCCCCAAGCTGCGCATCATTTTGGAGCACTGCACTACTGCCGCGGCCGTGGAGGCTGTCAAGAAGTGCGGACCCACTGTTTCCGGCACCATCACAGCCCACCACCTGTCCATCATTATCGATTCGTGGGCTGGCGATCCATTCTGCTTCTGCAAGCCTGTTGCCAAGACCCCCGCGGACCGCGATGCACTTCTCCGTGCTGCTGCCTCGGGTAACCCCAAGTTCTTCTTCGGCTCTGACAGCGCCCCGCACCCAGCGGCCTCCAAGCGTGGAGGCGAGAAGATCGCTGCGGGTGTGTTCACTCAGCCGTACACCACTCAGGTTGTGGTCGACGCCTTCGAGCAGGCCTGCGACAACGGAGTCCTCAAGGAGGAGGATATAACACCAGAGATTGTCGAGGGCTTCATGAGCAAGTTCGGACGCGCCTTCTATGGCCTGCCGGAAGAAAAGAAGGAATTCATCACGATCGAGAAGAAGGGCGAGAAGATCTCAGCAATCCTCGAGTCAGACAAGATCGACGTTGTCCCCTTCCGGAAGACCCAGGAGACATGGAGCGTCTCTTGGTCTTGAAGTGACCATAAAATATCCGAATAATGAAGTTATAGAACCAAATACCTTTCACATGCACATCATCTTACACAGACTTGTCTTGCGTAAGCATGTTGGCCACACTTTCGAGGGCATGGGCTTCTCGGAGGTCAATTCTGCGACCTGCGACAACAGGATTGCCATCATCACCCATGGCAAGTTGACCAGCGCGCTCGAGGTGGAGTCGAATTCGGCTCTCGATGTATTCTTTCCTTTCGTCTCTTTTAGACTTGGTCTCCATTGCCACTGTAGCGCCTGGCAATGTTGCCAACTTAGGCCGAAGCTGCACGAGTGTGGCCTGCAATGCAGGGAGCTGAGAGAGAATAAAGGTTGTGTTTGTTGTAAGGGGTGTGGATTTAGCGTTAGGCCCGGCATCGACGCCGACACGAAGCTGACGTGCAGCTGGGCTGGAAGTCAAGAAAGACAAATCCAGGCTGTTCTCAGACGCACCAGAGCCATTTAGCTTGGCTGTTTCCACCTTCGACAGGATAGAACGTAGTTGTGAGATGACCGCTTCGTTTCGACCGCATTCGTCTCTCAAGGCCCGGTTCAGTTTCTTTGTCTCGAGTAATTTCTTGCGCTGTGTGTGGATGGATTCCGGCGTCGGCGTGTCTTGCGAAGAGCTGAAAGAGAGGCCCTATCACAAAGCGCATTAGATTGTTGCCTTTCAGAAGGAAATACGACGCCTCCAGATAGCCCGTGCCCGAGGCACTCCACATACCTCGTAATGCTTCAACCTCACCCAAGAGAGCAAGTCCTCCGGTACTGTGAGAATGTTCCGCAGCACATAAATCTCAAACTTGTCAAAGGCCTTATCAACATTGGCCTCAAGCAGCGTCTCCAACTGATGCAATCCATTCTCAATCTCTAGCTTCGCCTCCGGATAAATAACATTTCCATCCTCGTCGGTCTCCGGAATGGAAGAGCCGTCATTGCCATGGGCAAACCCAAGTCGCTCAGGCGGCGTAGCAAGCAATCCAGATTCCAAGCTCGAGATCGCCTGGTAGATCAAATTGTTGATCGAGTTGATAATGTCATCTATGAGAGACTAGCGACCTGTCAGTGATATGTCCAAGAGGTGGGTCCTGGTCGCAGGTTCGCGCGTGCAGCGCGAGTCAATGCGCGTCGGGGAGATCACGATAAACTCACCAGAGGGGTGTAGCTGAAATGCTCAGTGAGCAAAGAGGTCGTCGCATCGTTCATCGCGAAAATATTGGATCGTGACGGGGTGACGCGCGCGTTGGAGAGGAAGCAAAACACGGGGGAAAATCCGAAGCCACCGCCTTCCGTCCCACTCCACATTCTTGACCCTGGATTGTATGTACATCGTTGACTCCTATACATGTATTTTGTGACTCCGACGGATGTGCCATGTTGCACGTAATTTCATGCCAGACTAGGACACGAGAGCCATCCCGACTTAACCCTGTCACCAGGTACCCGGCGTTGGCTGCTGAAGTCCACACTACATGTCAGCGTCAGAATTAGACAGTCTCAGGCCATGGCAGATGACCACCGGCGAGTGTTCTGGTTTCGACGAGCAGACTGTTGGCCCATTGGAAGGTTCTCATCCAGTCCAGGTAGACCCCGAAGTTCGCCCCATGTGTTTTTACAATCCATGTGTCTTTGCAATGTAGAAAGGGAAAAACATATAAAGCCTCTGCCGGCACACTGTAGAAGTGTATCGAAGTTGTAAAGGCCTCTCAAAAGGAATATGGAAACACGATCGCTTGCTCTGGCCCAATACTCCTATTGCTCGGTACGAGGTCTAGATCAGATATCTTCCCCGAGGCACTTGTCTTACATTTATAGCCGACCATGCCAAAAGTAAACCCCCTCCGGGTGCTCGTCATTGTCTCACACCGAAGTTCCCGACTATCAAAAGCCCAAACCAACCCAGAAGCCCTTCTCCCAAAAGCCATCCGCCTCCTCAAAGCAAGCCACCTCTACACTCCCCAAGAAACACACCCAGCAACAAGACTGGTAGCAATGCAAAAGTGGCGCACGCGAGTCTTCTTCGTCTTCGACATCTGCCATACAACCTACGATGCCAAGCTAGGCCACCTACCGGAACAGAACAAGCTTCCCGTTGTCGTTGTCCACCTCAGCAAGAAGAACACAGCCTACCCAGCCAACGCATGGCTGTCCAAGAGGGTCAACCGAGATATTGCACTCTTGCACAACGCCCATGGCTTTGACGCCGTGCCGCCTTTCGTGGAGGATCACACGTTTGGGAAACCGCCAGAGTACGTCAATCCGAGGGATATTGCACTCATAAAAGCGACCTGTGTTTGAAACGAATCTTGCTGCTTGTTTTCTGCCGCTGTGGTATCTTAAACAATAAATCCTAATACATGAGTTTGATTCGAACGCTAGAAATCCATCGTAAGTTGTGGTGCCATCTTCTCCAGGTCTTCCACCTATTTGAGCGGTTAGTATACCAGAATGGCTAGAGGGGGCTGTAGGTAGATATACCTCAAGGAACCCGTCCCCAACACGTCTCCCCCCGGAATTCCCATCTGTCTCGGCCCTCTCATATGCTGCTCGAGCGATAGCCTCCCGCACAAAGACATCAACGTATTTCGCCACAACACCGTTGGCATCTTTGGCAACCTTCGTCTTCTCGTTTTGGAAATGTTGATGTAACAGCCGTGTGAGCAGTTTAGCAGGTATCGTCGGTTCACTAGACGTCACATCTTCCACCGGATTTGAATGCGTGATTTCAGCAAGAATATAATCCGGTTCCTGAGAAACAGAGCGTGGACGACTCTGGCTCGATTCATCGGATTCGGACTCTGAGCCAGATTGTGAAGCCGCATCGGTTGGAGGGGATTCAGCATGCGGACGTTTTTCAGCGGCTGTAGATTTGCCTTTGGATACTTTTGGTGCGGATGTTCTTGAGGCTGATGTGGATGTGGAGGGTTTCGTGCTGGCGTGTTTGGCCTTGCCTTTGGTCTTTGGCGTGGAAGATGGCCCCGCACTAGCGGCTGTGCGACTGGGGGGTTTGAAAGGGAGGCGTGGGCGCTTTTGCGCTGGCTGAGGTTCGCCAGCCATATTGCGTCCCGGATTCAGCCGTGATGTTGCGGATTGGAGGGAGTTGTGGTGAAGTTGGGATCGGCGATTTGGTTATCGCGAATCAACGCGCGGGATCTACGCGTTGTCAGCTGACGCGCTGGCCCTACTTTAATTTCAACTTACGCTTCGTATGTAAATTCAATGTCCTATCAATTATGGAATCGTTGGATTTATAAGACTTATTAAGGGTGTTAAATAAAATATGCTTATATTTTTTAGCACTAATGCAAATTGTTTACATCGCGCCTCGTGCATAAGACCTTATCCGTTTCTTTTGACTATTAACTACAACTAAGACCGAACTAAGGCGATCGTGTGATCAAACTTGTCTCATATTCTCTAGCTAGGGGCTAGATATGTCCCCTCTCTGTCCCCTATCCTTACAATGTGCTCAGAATCTGCCTAGCTACGACCGGTGCGCTGGCCGCGGCCGCGGGAGGAACGTACACCTCCGTTTGCCAAGCGACGACGGCGGGTAGCTGTGCCTCCTATGGTGTAAACCACCATTCGGATACCCAGCAGGTCAATCAGACGGCGGGTTCTAGACCACGCCACTCCAAACAGGCCGGAGTTGAACCGGCAGGCATGGAGACCCTGGATTTGCTGGCCGGGTCCAGCAAACTGGTTGACCTGGTGCAGCCCTATCTGCATATCTAGGAGCGCAGACCAGGTGGCGTTTAGGATCATTTCGGGCGACGCAGCGTCGCGGCCATATCCATGCGAGGTGAATAGGCAGATGATCCAGTGGCGACGGCCGTTGATGGCAAAGTCGCTTTGTTGAGGAGGAATGATGAGGGCGGTTCCGAGAGGGCGGCGCACAATGACAGTGTTGTCTTCACTGTCTGCCTCGAGGTCGATGATGGGGTAGGTCAACCTGGTCTCGGCATTCTGCTGACAGTGCCGGCGGTAGATTTCGTAAGCTGCGGGGTACTGAAATAGAATGATATCAGTAAAAGCTTCATTTTAATAGGTAGAATGTGAGCATACCCGGTAACGAAAAGTAATGGCAATGCCAGCGCCCCAGATTCCTTCACAGTTGCAAGCGTCTAAGATGGATATGTTAGCTGATAATCTGGATAATGTGTGCCTTCGCTGAATTAGATAGATACGTACGGATCAAAGCCGATCCATCTGGCGCATTGAAAAGATCGCCTGGGATCTCGGTCACGATGCTGGCTGCATGCGGGATCGCTGCAGAGGGGACCGTTGAACGCGGGCCACCTGGGCTTTGGGTGGTACCATCGGGAGCAGTGCCACCTGGAACAGGATTGTCACCATGGCCAGACATGATGGGAAAAGATGGTAATGGGTATTGGTTCGAAGGAAACGACGCGACGATCGAAGCCGCGAGTGAGAATATGGAGTGGGGTGGAGAGGAAGAGAAAGAAAGGGTGGTGAGAAATGAACGAGATATAGAGATACCCTCACGGAAAACCAAAAATCTGGAGATACTGTTCGCGTGATTGACTGTCTTCAAAGAACCCCCATATATCTAGGGCAATGTTAAAAGGACTCCTCTTGTTGATATTCGGACATCCTCTCCACCTGTCTAAACCTAATTAGGGAAGGCTTAGTATGTGTATTTCATAGTGTATTTCCTTAGTAAAAATGAACAAAAGGGCGTAGAGGAAGACAATAGGCTTCGTAGGGTGCGTGAAGACTCGCACCCAGGTCAATACACGTATACCAACTAGGCCAAAAAGACCACTATGTCAGCCTGACGGCTGACATGCCTAGGACCGATACATATACTACTTAGTGCACAATTGTACGAGTGCGCACCCCAGACGCCACGCCGTGACAGTTGAAACTTATCTTCTAGCAAAAACGTTTAGAAAGTAAGATGATATAGACTTACTCTTGGGTTTACGATAGGGGTCTTAGAAAGCGGTCTAAAAAATCTGTCCAATAGTGTTAAAACAATAAAAAAAGGCACCGTGAAATACACATACTACGCCTTCCCTAATTAGGCTTAGAGAGGTGGAGAGGGGGTCCGAATATCAACAAGAGGGGGTCCTTTTAACATTGCCCTATATCTATGTGGCGTGATAATCAACACACCGTCACACAGTATAATTATATGGATGATGAAAGGGTTTGCTTTCGAATCTACGAAGCACATATTTAAGTTGCAGGCTCAAATCAGACCGTCTGGCAAACAGATCCCTGAGGTCCTACACATATTTCTCTAGACATACGACGCAGGGCAAAGTAGTCCTAGTTCTATGCCGTCCAAATCGGGGTCTGGGCTATCAAGGCTATGACATAGGCTGCCCGCGGTACATTCTTCAACTACGTATTCATTGGGCTTATGGTGAGTTGCTAATAGACGAGGAATTGTCCAGTATGTAGACAAGTTGAACTCTATTCTATGTCGTGTGCTTCATAGCTGGCTCAAAGGTAGCTCTAGACCAGTCCCGTAAGGTATCTAGAGAATTGGATATATGAGAATAGCCATGACGGTCAAATGTAAAGAGGTGCATAATTCTAGCAATATGAATAGAATGTAGAATAATACTACAAGTAACATACATGAGTAATTGTGTCCCTCGACTCGGAATCAGACATTCTTTCGCTTGGGTGTGGGTGTAGAAGCCCCTCTTGGCCCAGTCAACTCGAACAAACGGCGGTTAACGAAGCTCTTTAGGCTCTCTCTCTTCTTCAGTCCTCGCTCCTTTTTCTCGTCCTTAGATGACACCTGATTGAGTGACTCCTCCTTTGGTGATTCCAGTGTAAGGGAATTTGCTGTTTGCGACTCAGTCTTCGATAGCTCTCTAGATTTTGCATTATCTGACTGAGAAGATCGGAGCGGAATGGTCTCTGGCAGGTCAGAAGCACTCGGAACCATGGCAACACCATCGGGGCTGACCACGGTGCTGAGACCAGCGAGGGACATCGGAGCACTGTTGCCACTACTCGACTTCAAACGGCGACTCATCGATCGTGAGATGCTCTTGAATAAGCTGGGACTGTTGCCGTGATCACTGCGTTCAAGGCGGCTGATCTCTCCCCTGGCAGTAGCTCCGTTTGTTGCAAGGTTGTCTTCGCCCACCGAGCCAAAAATGATGACACCTCTATCTGATGGAATGCCGAGAAGATTCAGGAGGGCTGCTTGGATGAGGCTCGTGTTGCGTTGATTGGTGAGCGGTGCGATCAGGCTAGGAAGAGCGGAGATCTTGATCAGGTAGGCTGAGTCGGGGTTATTGCCGAACGTCAGAAGAGCATCCTCATCGACTGTGACTAGGACTGAAGCCTCGGGATGTTGGTACGTCTGGGCGAAAAAGAGGGCTAGATCCGACAGAAGTTTGGGTGTATTCTCCTTTGCCTGGGGGTTCGTTAGCGGAAACGAATTCAATACCACTGGACACTCACCTTGATATTGGTCTTTAGCTCCACGATAACAACTGAGTCCTGAGCCACACGGTTCTTTGGAGAGTGATCCGATCCACGGACAGTGAACGCGTCCTCGTAATACATTGTCTTCATGGGCTTTGCGATAGGCGAATCGGGTACACTTTTCGGAGCAAGATAGACGGGCTTTGGCTCTGAAAGACGCGTGATAGGCGCCACATTTTCCTCTCGGTTCTCTTCTTTGAACAATGATGGGGGAGCAGGCCTCTCGGGCATGATCACCGGGGGTAGATTGGCATTTGAAAGGGCCTTAGGTGCCAGAGCATTAGGCACTTGGTCTAGGAGAAGAATATTGGTACTCAGACGAGGCAAGGAGGGCTTAGAAAAATCCATTTTGAAGTGAAGCAGTTGAGAATGGTGAGACGAGAACAGAAGAAGTAAACAAGTGCACAGGTTGTAAACAGGGAAGGTATCAGGCAAGAAAGGCAAGTTCGCTGAACGCCGAGTTTCCACTGCTGAAGATCTTGTCAATACGCCTCCTCCGATCCCACACAATCTCGCCATTGATGTGCCGTATATAGAGCACTCGGTGTTGCGGGATGAATTCCTCATGGGTGGTTTCCTTCTTCCAGCTATCCATGCTGACTTCCAGTTGACCTTCAAATCGATCCACAAACCCAATGATATAGTCGTTGCGCTCAAAGCCCGAGTCCCAGGTTATGCGATTGATAATATCTGATCTCGTCAAACTTGATTCATATCCGAGATGGTATATTGCTTACCTCCTGCCGGGCGCAATCTGTTTTCGCCAGCTTTGGGGTCATATTCCGGTGATGGGCTTCGATCTTTGATCTCTGAGGACTTGGGTGAAGGAGGGAGCTGGTTTTCAGTGTTATCGCCAGCCATGTCTGTTTCGTTCAAGGTCGACCCCATCGCTGACTTGCAAAGTTGTCTTGGATATCGTAGTGATTTGATCTATCAATGTAGATATATATTTCTGCCCATCAACGTCCTTTATTATACTTTACATGGTAGGCAATCTGGACACCTAAAGTTGGAATGATTCATATTCAGTCATAGCTGAAATCCATAATAACGTGATATGACTCAAATCTGTGGCATACAATGTTGTTCCGGCCCTTTGTGACTCATTGGCGGCCGGCGGTGTTGGCGCTAGCATTCCAACACGAGGTCAGGGGTGATTTTGCATTTGGAATTAAATCACAATTGACACTGAAAATTTGTAAATTAAAAAGAAATCACTTTTCATTCCAAAATTTGAAATAAAATAAATTTCAAAAAGAAAAAAGAAACTCCGATAGGGGGAATCGAACCCCCGGCTGTCGTGTGAGAGACGACGATGTTAGCCACTACACCATATCGGATGTTGGATGAAAATCATAACAAAATTTGTGGTCATGAGCCCTTTGGGCTTGTCACCACCGGTCCTGTGCGTGCCCGTGCGTGGTTGTACAGGTATCTCGCTTTATATACATGATTCGTCTAAGTATCACATTGCTGGTCATCATATATGCTTAGGTTGTCTCCAAGGAGCCAGCGGTTGGAATATAGAAGTTGTTTGCAGCAGCGATCAGACGAGGGTGACTGACTACCTTGATTTGAAAGTCGCCACGGCGATACCCTGACTTTCATAACCAACGAGTGGAGCCATGTCCTTTAGATCGCTTATAATAATGCTGTCGGTACTGCACCGTCTCTTATAAGACATACATAAAGTCAGGACGAAGATCACCCTGAATCCACTTCTGGTCATTCGTCAGAGCGTTCCACTTCTCATCCAGCTTACCAGCTCTTCGATCTTTGTTCATCTTGCGAAGCCCAAGGTGCATCCAGATCGAGCCGCCAAGCAAAAACACAGTCAGAAAGCCAAGAATAACACCGTGTCCAGTGTAGTAGCGGGGCTTCTGCTGGGCCAAATAAATGTTTGAAGACACGACACCATTCAGGTTTCCCCAGCCGACGACAACGCCCAAGACAAAGGCACGCTTCAGGGAACCTTCGGTGTTGTTGTTCAGCCACGAGAGGGTGTTCGGGATGGTGGGGTAAATGCCCGCTGCACCGAGGAAGACAGCGGCGTATTGCACAGTTGGATTGGAACTGGCAATCAACATGGCGAAGCCAACAATAGCAAGCAAAACAGTGGCAATATTGCAAAGGCCTCGTTGGCGTGTGCGATCGGCGTAGAAACCAACACAGACGGTTAAAGCGGCGGCGACAGCATAGGGAGGAACAGATAGTAGCTGAGCTTTGGTTCCTTGGTGGCCCATACCGGCGATAATCGTGGGGAGGAAAAGAGAGAAGGCGTACAGAGGGGTGAGGCAGCCCATATAGATGAACATGTATCCATATGTCTTCCAGTCTTTCAGAGCAGCGTACATATGCCTCTTGTCCGAGTCCTCAGCAGTACGGCCCTGGCGATCCATGATAAGACGGCGCTGAACGCGAATGCGATCATCTGCGCTGAGGAAACGAGCTGTCTCGGGCCAATCAAAGACAAGCCACCAACAAAAGCAACCCGCGACGACAGTAGCGAGACCTTCGAGGATGAAAATCCAGGCCCAACCGTCCTTGCCGCCGAGTCCATCCATCTTTTCAATAGCGGCAGCGAGCAGGCCACCAAAGGAGCCGGCGAGTGCAGCAGCCGAAAAGAAGATGGAAGAGCGGATACCGATCTCTGAGCTCTTGTACCAACAGGAAAGATAGTAGTTTACACCAGGAAATAAGCCAGCCTCAGCCACACCGAGGAAGAAACGGGCAGCAAGGAGTCCGGCATTGTTGGTGACCAGACCCATAAGAGTCATGATAACGCCCCACGTAACTATGATCATGGTGAAGAACAGACGAGGGGTGATCATCTTGAGCAGGGCATTGGTGGCGGGCTCCATGACGGCGTAAGCGACAAAGAAAATGGTCAAGTTATTATTGTAATCTCCTTTGACCATGCCAAGGTCGTTCTCGAGGCCAGCGAGACGAGCATTGCCAATGTTAGTTCGATCGAGGAAGGACAGCAGGTACAAAAGGGAAAGCCAAGGAATAAGGGCCATGTCAACCTTCCACATGAGCTTCTTGTCCTGTATGCGAGACTCACGTTAGTTCAATGTTCAATTGTACTGCGTCTAGTGAAAAAGTCCAACTCACGATTTGGCGACGCTCCTCATCATTCTTACCCGCGTCCGGATCCGACAGGTTGGCCAGTAGCTCCGCACGCTCATACTCGATGTCCGACATCTTGACCTTCTCCATCTCGAGGGGGGTTGAGGGTTTCTCGACGTCCATCATGACTTGGCTAGTTGTTGATGGCACCTGTGGAGAGACTGTTAATTAATGGAAACAATTGAACATGTGGCGCTAAGCCAGAGGGAAAGAATTTACCAAGTTGAAAGGAAATTGAGGGGGATGATCTTGAACGGGGAATGGTCTCGGTCCTTTATAGGGTTCATGTTCGAATAATGCCCAGGTGGACCACAACTGCTGACAATCCCCGTGTTTTGAATGCGGGGAATGATCCTGAATGGCGAAGGGTCTCGGTTCTTTATAGAGTTCATGTTCGAATAATGGCCCACAACTACTAACAATCCTCGGGATTTTTAGTTAGGTGCACAGATCTGGAGCGGCTTGTTAATTCGTCCGGTTGTCCGTTCGGTTTGCCCCCACGGTCTTGGCATGCCGAATGGTACTGACATTGGCTTCGGGTGGCCCGCACTTGAGCGGACTCGGACGGCAGGTCACTACGAGCTTGCGGCGCGGAAAGTCCAATCCCCAAAATTCCGCTCCGTCTTTATTCCATCCCCGCATTGGTTTTTTTTTTTTTTCGCGAAAGGGGGAGAGTGTGTGGGATTCATCTAGAGAAGATATATAGGTTCTCCTGGAATAAGTACGGGATTTTGTAGGGGAGTTACGTGGGGATCTACCACGTCATGGGCCCCTGAACTTTACTCTGAGGTTACAAGTTTTTGATTCGTTCTTCGGACAAAGGGCATGTCCCTTATCTACGCCTAAGAGATACGTTCCAAGGTTAACTTCATTGAACCCAAACGTGATTTAACCGTATAATCTAGAACAAATTACCCCGTATTTAGGTCCTCCGACGCCATTCGCTTACAAAGGCCCTTTCCAGCAGAAATACCTATTCATATCTGATTCCCCCGGGAATGAACTCTTTTCCTACCAGAGAACAAAGCGGGGTTTTCCTTGGCAGAGCGGGATTTATCTGGGGAAGCCATCTGGTAGCCGCCAGAATAGTCAAGTGCGGGATCTTTATGGGGATCTACGGAGTTATCGAATAATCCAAAGCACTGTACCTCTAACCTCCTCACTATCATGTCTGATCAAATTGCGATAAGTGCCTATGATAGTCCACAAGCCATTTCTAGACCCTTGTATAGTCCATTCCCAGAGGATTTCACCGAGCGTGCCAATATTACGGGTCCTGCTGGCCAGAACTCTAGAGCTACCTCATCTCACGTCCAGGTTGTCAGCCATCCGCTCAGGCCCAACTTGGCTCCCCAAAAAATACAATTATCGGAAGATATTTGCCAATTTGAATTTTCTATATACAAAAGCAAAATATGACTCTTTGCAAAGATCTTATTAACCATGTAACGTCGATTAACTCAAATTATATCCATGTTTTCTGTTCTGAAGGGTTAATTCTAGATCGACGTGGATTGAATCTGAACAGCTTCAGTAAGCCCTTCCATGACCTCTGGCTGCGAATGTAAGTCTGATACTATGAAGTCTACCTGCGAGCCTGTTACCCGAATCCATAATACCAACAACGAGGGGAGCCGGAAGGCTTTCCTGACACCAATCCTCAGAGCATACACCACAGCCAACGGGATTCATTATAAATAACACAGATAAAGCTTTAGATACCCATGAGAGTATTAATACAAAACAAAATACGCCTAATGCAAAGTAAAATTGTGGTCAACCGGCGATGGGAACATTGCTCTGATCAGAAATTATGCTAAGAGCATGAGCCAATCGATCAGATCGAGACTCTGTTGTAGAGTCATGGGCTTGAGGCGTGATAGGAGGAACAGGCCCTACCATTGATGCTACAGGGGACACCCTTTGGAGATTGGGAGGCATATTCTTTCTTTCAGAGCTCTCCTTGTCCATTGTCCGAGGATGAGCTTTGAATAGAACAGCTTCTGGCCGTCTTGCTTTACTAGGCTTTGATTTGACTTTCAGGATGTATCGCAAGATTCTTCGCGGGACACCTTGCAACTGTTTTTTTTTGGTCAACATGGTACATATCTCTCAGGGCAGACTGCTTACTGTCAACCCTCCGACGCTGCCAACTAGTCGATCACCACTGAGGATGACTACGTTGCCCTTCCACTGTTTCGCTTCACCAGGTATCATCTGCACGTAAGTTTGGTAGGGCCTATCGTCCGTGGCACGCTCATATAGATGGAACGAATCCCAGCCGTGGTTCACGAAAACTTCCGCCGCCAAATTCGTCTTGGTGTTGGCTTTCATGACAAAGCCACCTGACTGTGTCAATCCGTCAATAAACCCAGGATGCGTGTGGAAAGTGCCGCCCTTCTTGACATCACCGAAGGTGGCGGTACATGCGGCTTCTAAAGTCTCGTTGTCAAGGATCGTTTCATCAATACACAGATAATTGGAGTGGAATTCGGCCAAAGCCTGGACTATGTTGTACGCTATTGGTCTATTGAACCGGAAAATCGCCCCTTTGCAGGAATTCTCGCACATGGGTCTAATATGCATTTGAATGGTCGGCATATCTTTGGCAAGAGTGTTAAAGGTGGACTTGTCACTGAAGCGGATGCGGCAATAGGTATGTTGTATGGACTCGACGTGGTTTGACCAAGCTAAATATTAGCATGAAAATACGGCAGAGCAAAATGCTCATGAACAGAGTCATGATCTTATATCGACACTAAAGCGTTCTTTGCTATCAAGGCCTTCTCAATCACCATGTTGATAATATCGACGTATTTTTCACCGTCTTTTCCTTTAAGCAGCTGAGAGAATCGATCAAGGAAATAATTGCCCGATGTAAACCCTACGTTAGCGTAGACTGACTGTTGATTCGCCACGTCATTAGCTTGCGGTCAGATGGTCGAAATAGCAGACTTACTGGGGTACACAATCCTAAGCCTTCCACCTTATGACGCTGAACTAGAGGACTCAAGTCCGGGCGCGAAACATCAGATTCATCGATGACTACAAATTTCTCCGAATCAGATTTCTCTTCCACCAGCCGATGTAGCGTGGTTGTCGTTGGCGCAGGAGGGGGAGGAGCTTGGACGATCTTTTCGGGAGCAGCATTGCCATCACAGACATGATCACCCTTGTACAGGGTCCAATCGTTCTTGTATGGAATCTAGTACGACTTCAAGTCCCATGAATACGACGGTAGAGGTAGCACGCGCTGCGCCGCACTGAAATCGCGATGGTATCCGGACCAATCGATATCTGCTCCAGCACTGTACAGCACAGCGATACTGTTTGCTAGGATTTTCCAAGGGTTCTTGTTGCGGCGGAGGGTAGACAGGCAGTTGATTTCATTGCCTAGACACGATTTGATCATGCCGAGAACCACTGGATGGGGTCCAAACTCAATCACAATACTCTTTGATGTGATAATGTTTTCAGCAGACGCTGTCTGCAAGCCCTGTAGCATGTTGACAGGTCCACGGCAATGTCATGCCAAATATACCGGACTAAATGTGCCTAAATCTGAGATGACTGTTCCCAATAGGGGACTGATCACAGTGATAGACGGTGCGCGGAAGGTGACCCCGTTCGCGGACAATTCGAAGTCCTTTAGAATCGGATCCACTTGCGAAGAGTGGAATGCGAAAGGTACCTGTAGCAGTGTGCATTTGACATTCTGCGCCGTCAGGTCCCACGCCCAGCTCAGGCGTAGAGAGCGGTCTCTATAGGTGGCTATCGCACTAGACTTAGCTATATCTTAGATAAGGATTCTAGTGAAGAACTATAGTCAAATTAGGATGATCGATGATGCTCATTTCTCTCTCTCGAGAAGACTGCATATCTCCTGAGGCGCTTGCGACACCTCAGGCCACCAATGTATGTCACGATCTGTACTGTATCCGGCCAATTGGAGATGTAAATGACTCTGTATTTCCATTACCCCTATTTCTCGCTATTTATGGGTCCATTCTAGTTACATAAGCTATGCCGGTCGGATCATCTATAGACCCGGTTTCATGCAGTATTCGTACGATATTTGTGACAATGTACTACTGTCACTGGGTCCACCACTATAGGGGTTTTAGTAGGTCACCTAGTATAACGTAAAAACTAACCTAAAGCTAGGTTAGGTTAGGTTAGGTCCGGGTCTAATTGGGTCGTGGCGGAGTCTAAGCACTAAGAAATGCCTAAGAGGGGTGGTTATATCGCGGGGTAGATTCGATAAATGTGGCGATTAATAGTCTAGAGCTGATAGGCCTTGCTACCCGTTCTCTCAATACCATAGGAATACGAGGAGTGAATGATCACGAGGACTTAGTACCAATCAGGCCGTATGATATCATGAGTCTTATAGTAGGTCAGCATTATATATAGCGCCATTTTTGAGCAACAGGTCATCTTCCAAAGCACATCACGAAATATTCGCGAACCATTCAAATCAAATTATTTGGCAAAATTTGAATTCCACCATGTCAGACATCCTGCGCAGAGCATCCGACGCGTTCCATCATCGCCAGCGTCAAGACTCGACCGGCTCAATGGATGCACCGGCGTCCCCGGACGCAGCAAAGCCTCCCGTGCAAGAGCCAATGAATCAAAAGCCCGAGTCTGTTCAGCCTGACTCCCACGCCAAGGATGCTGTTGCTGCATCAGCTAGTACGAGCTCACCTTCTCTAGTCCGAACTACACTGACAATATCATATAGATGATGTTGAACATCCGAAGCATCGCCGCCATTGGGGCTGGGGATACCAACGCGGGAAAGGCCCCGAAGCAAAGCAGCAACCGCAATCCAGCCATGAGCAGAGAGATAATGACTGGGTTTTTGGAACGTAAAAAAAGGATCATACTGGATGCGGTGGCTGGGGAGATGGCCTTCAATTTCACTCAATTTGACTGTGGTGTTTTTAACTAAACATGTCGACCAAACCCCTCATACCAAATATTCCTCCCGAGATTGATTCCTCAATTAGATACATGCGTACATCAGAGCCCATGTGTAAGCCGCGGGAAAACGACAGGGTCGCTATTCTCAAGATTTGCAAAAACGCTCCGACCACAGCTAGAAGACCCAATTTCTCTGCTCTCTTAGCCCATTCGGCAGGGGGAAGAACCTAGGCCTCAACTCCAGTCTCCCTCTCAGTGTATTCCTTTAACTCCGAGAAAGGAATATCAGAATCCCCGATTAGATTGGCATATTTCAGTTGCGGGTTCGAAGTCGATGGGGACAAGTGAAGTTCATTCATGATCCCGTCAACGACTGTGTCTAGTGCAACGATGTTCAAACTACCGCGGAGTTGAGGTGAGACCGGCACTGCCTGCAACATTCGGGAGAGTCGGAGAAGGTTTGGCATCAGCTCGAGAGTTTCGGTGGCATCCTCATGAGAGATGCTGCTTGGCCGATAAATGGTATTGGAGAGCCCGAACCAATCATGAATCTTCTCAAGATATCGTTCACTCGCCCATTTGGAAGAAGTGTACCCGTCCAGCCCATCTGCAGGCGGCAGGTAAGACGACACGGACTCGTCTCCGAAGACGGCTCGCTGGGAAAAGAAGGTCACCCCTGCAGTGGAGACGAAGTGGAAGGGTATGTGGCGGCCCAAGGCCAATTGGATGAGCTTTGAAGTAACCTCAGAATTCGCAGCTTTGAGACTGCGGTAGGACTTGAGATAAAAAACATCGGTCCCATTGTGTATGATCGCGTCTACTGTGTTGAAAATCTTATCAGCATCCGCTTCGGAGAGTCCCAACTTGGGCTAGGTGAGATCTCGCGACCACTCATTCCGAACGTTACTTCAATGACGCCCGTTCCTTCAACCCTGAGCGATGGCTGTCATCTTCGCATCTGCTCCACAATCCTAAATATGAGTCCGATGACCGACGAGCATTTACTCCCTTCTCACAGGGGCCTCTGGGATGCCTCGGCTCGAGTGCCCCGTACCTCTAGGCCGAATTATCTCGGCTAAGCTCCTGTGGTCCTTCGACATGGAACTGACCAATAAGGATGCTATTGATTGGGAGAAGGATATCAAGATGTTTGCGATCTGGATTCGCCCGAATCCTTTTGTCCGAGTCCGTCCTGCGAATGGGAACAAGACTTAGATCATTGTCAAATACACGATGCCTGAGACGGATACTAGGTATTTTGATTTGATGTAATTCAATACGTCAAGAAAATAAACCAATCCTGGTGCTACATCTTCGCGTATTTGGTACATGCCATGGGGCCGGTTCCGCGCATGACGGATATGTAGTTTGTTAAACCGACTGCGACCTTGACCAAGTGGTGACACCTGTGCCCAGCAGTTCGGTGGACACGGTACATTAATTGAAACAAAAAGTTTGAATTGCTCCGGAGCAAAATACAATGTCGGGGCCGAACGAATGACCTACCTACCTAAGTCATTGGTGATAGTCAGACTATAGAGCACCACCTAACTATTGCAAAAGCATCTGCCCATCGGAAGATCTGTTATATTAGGTAGCTTGTTGTATGACCCTGTTATCTACATATATAGGTAGCTACCTTACGTGGCTGGCCATCGGAGCGATTCTTTTTTTTATCGGGGAGAAGAGGGCCCAGATGCCGTTACAAAATCGGAGTTGATGCCCGAAATTTTTGATTTTTATTTTAAACGTGACGCTGCTCAAAATATCACATATTCCCGAATAACTGTCCATGCAACATCGAATTCATAACACTCATTCGCAACTCGCGGCGCAGTCAAAACCAACACGGCGAATTATAATCGACGAGACAATGCAATAGCCGTGAATATCTATGAAATAGGGTTCAGTTCTAACATCTGCTGGATCTTTTTCATATTCTTCCTGAGCGAGAAAATATACCCAACACCCATCCCTTCACTCTCCTTGTCATCCTTTTGACTCATCACCATCCGCACCAGCGCGGTAAACTCCGAACTACTGAGGAGACCATCATTGGAACCGCTGGCAGGGTCAAGACGGAACTCCGCGGATGTTCCCAGCAAGCGCTCGATGCGAGACAGAAGATGCATGATCACTTGGACGAGAATCTTGATCTGCAGATTCCCGTACTGCACGGGAAATCCTCCAAGCTGGAGGCCCGGTACGGATTGGAGTGATGAGATGAAAGCGACATTTCAGACAGAGACTCGCAGACGCGCAAAAAGAAAATGTTATAGATCTGGATAATCTGAATGTAGCAGGTCAGGATCACTAGAGCGGTCGAGATATCCGGTTTGGAATGGTCGGAGGGCGGGGGGATCCTTAATTCTGGAGTGTGCAGTTGGCCAAAGGGCGAAGAGCTGATATGAAGCGGCTGCACGGCGTTGTTCAGATTCGCTGCCACGCGAGAGCAGTACATGTCAGACCCCGATGATGACAGCGTGGTGGGATCCGAGTTTGGTGACTGAAACCCAGACCCCAGCTGGTCTGCAGAGGTCTTGAAAGCGATGGTTTGGAGGACTTGCACAAACTCGGAGGTGCTTTGAAGGACCTCTCCGAGGGAGTTCGAATTGGCTGCCTCCTGGCTCTGGTTGGCACACACGATATTGACCAAGGTGACACTCCAAGGTGCTTTCTTTAGTCGGTCCAGTTGATTGCTCAGCGACTGAATCAGGACAGACAGCCTCTGAACGGCATCAGCGCTGCTCATTGTCTTCCGTGGCTGCTTGGAAGGATCTGCAGCTCTCAGGGAGTCGGAATCCAGTCTTTGGCTGGATTCATCCCTGAAATACTGACTTTGACTACTCGATCTATGGCTGGTGTCGGCATACGCGCTCTCCACATCGCTTGGGCCTGGGATATGCGTGCCATTCAGCGAGGGAATCCCGAAGGGGCTCTGACCATTCGACAGCCCGACCCCCAGGAAATCATCGCTGACCCCCGAGAGGCCCAAGAGAATTGCCGGATCAAGGCCAAAAAATGCGGGACCATTTGCGTCGAAAGCTCCTGGCCCCTCCGAAGGGACATCAGGTCTCCTGATTCCGTGATGTTTCTCGGCGCCGAATGGATTGCTTAAATTTTGGGTGGGATCTATATCATATAATATGTCGATTTCATCGTCAGCGGTACCGCTTTGGCATCTTACAGGCTTGCGTGGGCGTCGTTCCCGTCCATGGCTGTTTCCCGGGGTAATCTTCCGTGCAGGCCGTCCGAGAGGGCGCAGATTGCTTGTAATACACGAGGCACCGGCGCGCAGGCACCGCGCACAGGACTGGCCTGTCTGGTCCTCACGAGGACATCGTAATTTGTGTGCCCTGCACCTATCACATGCGAATCTTTTAGGGGATTGCGCGTGAGTTTCTGGTGACAACATTGACATTGTGCGGGGTGGTTAGGGTGATATAGACTGTCAAAAGGGGTATAGAGACAGATATGGAACCAAAATATGAGCGGCATTGGACATCCTATGAGCACCACGATTACTAGTGGACGTCAAGCACCCAAAGGATGCCAGTTGAGCTAGATTGCAGTTCGCAGGCCGAACCCCCAGATCGCAGGATGGTCCCCTCGAAAAAAAAGCAGGGATTGTGATTAGCGCATTTAATCAGGCTGCAAGCTGCATGTAATTTCGAACACCACTCTTCTACAACGTACTTTCTCCAAATCAAATCATCAGGTTAAATTGAATTAGTGAATTAGTGGGCATGAAGTTGTGGGAAAAGGCATATTACAGGCTGAAACGGGATTGTATCGAGGAGTCGGGAAAGAGCGGAGCTTTTGGGCGGGGAGGGCTGTTGGTAGGAGTACGACAGAGAATCGAGTCTGGGTGAAGCCAACGAGAACGTCATGTTGGGAAAGATATGGTAGCGAGTCATGTCGTAAAAGGCCTTGTTGAAGTCCGTCAATTGCCTGTCGGGAGCAGTAGGCTGGTGCGGTGGAATCTTCGAGATCGCAAGCGATTCAGGACCGGATGGCAGCCCCGTGCAGAAAGTATCGCGAAGACTTCCAGGCCCTACCACAAGTGACGCGATGCCGGCTTGGATTTTATCCTGTCCTTTTCAATGCATCTGATTGTTGAGGCCAGCTTTTTGCCAGGCTTTCTGACGTAGCCGGCGGATCATGTCCCAGGCTTCACGGCCGCCATGCTTGAGTGGCCAAAACATAGAAATCCCATCTTCGCCGCCTATGACACCTCCATCTGGCCCACAGAGAGCCATGACGTGGTCTATGAAGACGCGGGACTTGGATGCTTCTGGGCTATATGGTCGCTCATCCGGATCAACAAGCATGATCCTGTCGATTGTTATTATATCTCACGAGATGGACAGGAAATCGGGTACTTACATTGTTGCATGCAAAGGCTGATGATTCCTGGCAAATGGTCAGCTGGAGTGAGCATAGATGAGTCCTGGATAGCTTACCCAGGCCAGCTCCACTGGAATGGCCGAAAGTCGGGGTCTGTCACGAGCTGGAGGAACTTTTCCATAAACGCATGACAATGTCGAAGAGCGCTAAAAAAAGAGTTAGGGGCCAACTATTCTATCGAACAACGAAAAGCTCTCACGTTTGTCGCGCGACGGGCCAAACTCGGCTGTGCGCATTCTTCAAAAAAGGCTGGTAGGCGACACAGAATGCCTTAGAAGGCAGGTTAGCGAGAGATCAAAGAGTCTGATAGGATTTCCTTAGCAAACCTTGTCAACGTATAGGGAGAGAATAATTCTGGCCCATTTGTGAAATGAACCTAGAACTGGGGTATGGGATTGCCCTGGGCAGCCGTGTCGACCTTCGCCAGGTAGTCCAGTTTCAGTAAACCAGGCCTCTACGGGAGACTTTGACATGAACAATGCCCCACCAGATGAACCTGAAGCATTACCTGCTAGTTTACCTTCAGGAATCCTGTTTATGATAGAATTCAAATCTAGCTCAAGACCGCGAAGAACGGCTTGGAGTTCCTTCATATCTCCACGGATTACTCGCTTTGTGCCAAATTGAATCTTGAGAATGTGACGGACAGCACCTACCTCCTGTTTAGCTCCGATTCTTGGATGGTTCTGAGTAGAACTTACGGGTCATGACATATTGCCTTTTGTTGTCAGGTAAAAGACATCAACCATCGATGATCCACTACAGACAGATGGGTCGTCGGGGTTGTCCGGCAGTCGTCGGCCCGTAGACACTAGTTGCTCTATTAATGTACATGAAACGAGGGCAAACCATAGCAGTCGTAGGGTAGTACTTTTTCTTTTTTTTTTTTTTTTATTGTTCGTTTTTATTTTCTTTCGAATTTCACTTCCCTTATTTGAAAGTCCCGTAGCAGCAACATTTTGAAATTGAATCTCATTCTGGATGATCTAGCTATCATCCACACTCAAACCCCAAATAGAGACAAGACAAATTCGGCGCTGATAAGGATCGACCTGATGATCCATAGTATCCAGCTGATTATCAAATGAGAAGCGATCAACAAGAAAAATTTCCCTTTCCTCACTCAGTTCAAAGCCACGCGATCTTATACAACATCCGCAATCTAGAGTGCAGTGTCCCACACCAAGCGCCCCGGCTGAACTATTTGCACGTTGAGCATCAAGACAACATCCACAATCACGACCACAACACCCGCCTCTAGACTTGCAGTCTTCAACAAGAATTGGATGCATATACCACAAAGGATTGGATCTCCATAACTCAAATGCCCGTTGTAAGGGCCCGGAATTACCAATGATCCAATCACGGGTATACCACCAGGCTCGTGTCCGCATCCAATTCTCTTGGTAGAGTGTGCTCATCTCGTCCTCAAAGCTTGGAAGGCCAGTGACCCAGAAACTCGGATTATTCTTCACTTTCCGTAAAGTAATCTCCGCTTGACAATTCCTTCGCAGCTCCTCTTCGTAGTGGAGTAGGTCGGCAAAGGCGTCACAATCATGGACCTTTGACTCTCTTTGGTAGAGATTGTATCGAAACACTTGGAGACTCCTGATACATCCTTCTCGCTCTAGACGAGCCTCTTCTGGTGTTTTGTCCCCCGGTAAAGATAGCATCTTGGGGTCCGATAGCTCGTCGCACTTTTCAGAGCTGGAAAGGGTATGCGTACAATCACAACAGGCCATGGCAGCGCAAGGACGTCCGGCGGTTCGAATTAGAAAGATTTGAATGTTCAAGAGCCTTGAATTCTCGCCGACAAGCGTAAATAATCTGTAAGGTTCCAAAAAATAGGCGAAATGGCGAGTCGTCTTTAACGGAAACCCACAGCCAGCTCAACGTACGCCTCATTATGACGCACGCAATCATTGAGAACTCTATTTGAACAGTACGGCGATATGGGTTTCAAACCTTCCCTAGTACCTAGTCGAGTATCCTAATGCTAAGCTTGCTTTACAGCATGAGTACCTTGAAACAAGTTCGCTAGTCTGTATCCGCTCTGGAAGTTTAGTATAAAATTGCTTTTGGAATCAATATAACATGATATGCAAAACCCCGCTGAGGTATCAAATATGCACCTTTTGTTTTTCTTATTCTTCTCCAAAAGGAGATCAAGACTTATCAAAGATCCCCGCTGCATTGAGATCTCATCCTCTCTGGTATTACCAACTAGGAATCTTTGGCAGCCTTCTTCTCATTCTCCTTCGCCGAGCTTTTTGACCGTTAAATCATGTCTGTGTTAGTAATTGCGAATCTGAATTCTATTCTGCCATCCAAAATTACCGCTTGTCGGGTCGTTGGCCCTTTGAGCCCTAGAGACCGCCGTAACTGCCCTACTTGCAGATCGGTAGTGCATAGAGAACAATTAGTCTCAACAATCTAAGAGTAACACAAAAAGATCAAGCCTCATTTTATGCAGCCATCAACAAACTTCTTATTGATTTCACATAGTTGACCCCTGTTTATGGATTCACGTCATCTTCGCATGTGGAGAAAATAAAAGTTGATTATCATTCAATGGATGATAAATATCAAAAAGCGACTTACCGCAGCGATTGGACCTGACAGTGAGTGAATCTGTTTTTATGTTCCGAAGCTCTTGTCCATTGATATAGTCGTCGGGCCAAACAAGTGGGCCAAGCGCTAAGAAAGTGGGGCTGTGCCCCGCTCGTACGTCGTTACTACGATGGCTAGAGTCCTTTTTTGAAGCCTACATACTCCATGTAGCCGCACACCGGCTTTGAGTTAGACGGTCCCAATCTCCTTTTGGACCAATAATGTTTCGTCAGACTGGAGGAATGAGGCTCTAAATCTTCGTCGTTGAAAGATATCACTCCTGACATCGACCGCAATTATATATGCGTGGCACAGCCTCGCGCTAATGCACGGGATTTCACGTCGGTTCTGTGCTCTGGGCTCTTCAGCCGACGCTCTCGGTCTAATAATATATGACAGCCTTGACCCTTGTCATGCTGGAGATATATTGATCCAAAACCTTTACTGGAGTAATTCTTTGCTGATCCAGCCATTCGAATTTCAACATGAGGGGGTAGCTGCAGGTGGGCGTACCCGCCGGCATAAAAAAATTGTCAAACGTTAAGAAAGCGAGAGCTATACACCGCTGGTAGTTCCTTCGAAGGTTAGTGAGGGATTGAGCGCCTAATAACTACTTGAAGGCCACAAAACGCGTCCCTACCCTCAGAGTATTCCATTATTTCTTAGTCCACTGCTGCATGTCCAAGAAATACCTTCCTCTTATCCTACCATCTCCACAGTCTAGAAAAAAGCATGGATTTCTCATAGACCTATGACCCGATTAATTTTCACAGCATTTCTTCCCTTCATGATGCCAACAAGCATTTGGAAAAAAGAACGGCCTTTCGTTTGTGGAAACAAAGTTGAAATCTCTTTCTCTGCGATACGGAGTTGAGAATATCTTTGGGGTCGCGCTTGTCCACCGTCATTTCGATCCGGAAGAGGGAACGGTCCTCGTGGAGAAAGACATGGTCACAGCTCCCTGAAAGTGTGATGGTTCATTTGTGAAGCATAGTGGAAGAATTATTCCAATCTCTTGGTTCTTCAAGGGGGGCATATCTCGCCCAAAAGCTACGCCCAGAGATCAAAGAGCTAAGTCTTTTCATTCAAGAACAGCACCCTATGCTACATTCGGACTGGATCAGTAGCAAACCGTTAGCAATCTGGAACTCTTAGATTCCCATATCTAAACGGCATAGGCTTCTGGACGACCTTTTGCAGAGTTTCTGTTACAACTATAGACTATACCTATACCCTCTGATGTGGCCTAGGAAAGAAATTATCTATACTCTGTCTGGCTCACGGAAAGTCTAGATCGAGGTCTTCGGCGAACTCTCCTTAGTACCACTAGGTAGGGTAATGCTATTAACTACCTGATTATACGGTCCCTAATCCTAGATTATACTGCTGAGTTTAATAAATATACTAGCATTAGCTTTGCTTATGGAGACCTAAACGCACATAATTATATAAAAAGCGACGACTTTCATTTAACGGGGTAGGTACATTCTATTGTTTCCTATCCTTTGTATACTAATATATTAACATTTAACTCATAGAGTCATTGACTAGGACTAGATGTCTATAGCACCCCTGCCAGCTATTATTTATTATCCTTAGTTTATAGCCGATATTTCTAGATAGAGAAACGATGGTGTCACAGACGGCGAAAGCTTTATTGATAATCGCCTATACCTCGAGACTTTGGTCAGGATAAAAAAGTCTTCCAACACAATTACATTAAAGTGTCGAAACTTCTGGCCGGGTCCAGGAAGAGGCTATCTTCCCAGTCAGCCTTCCATTTCAAAGACATCCAAAAGGAATTTGTCAAGATGCACTGTCCGCGAACAGAAATTAACATCAGAGCTACGAGACTACAGCTAGATACAGTGCTTACTTTGTATCCTGACTTGGGGGACAAAGAAGGCGTGCTGGAAATCAAAAATATACTGGGAAGCAATGCTGAAAATGAGAGGCATAAGTAATTCGGCTACTTGTTGAAAAAGAACTGAATTGACGTCATTCATATAAGCAAAAGGGACACTTGCGGTTTGCTTGTTCTTAGTGTCAAAAGAACAAGCTTGGAAGTCGGTCAATCCCAAATGACAGTATCGGAAATGGCGTCAATTGTTACTTTACTGTAGAAGGTCAGTGAGACAGTAGCTCAAATCTTTCCTCATGCCTGAACTGGTATTTTCAATCCACAAATACTTCATCCTCTCTCGTCAAACTTCGGAATATGCGCAAAAGCGAAGAAATTCAAACAAAAACCGTAACTCACGAACGGGGTGATCGGGTCTTTCATATCAAGGCGATCAACACAGAGGTTACCTATCAGGTATGGAGGCGCTAAACCGCAATAGACAAAACCGACCCGAAAAGGCAATGTCCGCCGTTGGCAGTACCTCGTAGGTCGACACCTATTCTGTCGGATTCAGTAGTCCCGTAATAACAGGTCACCCAATGAAAAATGACCAAATGTCTGAATTGTTTACAGTCCCTTCGTGCACAATTTGAATATATCACGAGAATCAATCTCTGGCTCACATTGTAGCAGATGAAGAAGATTGATACAGTGCCCCAAGACAGTGTAATGAAGGAGAGAACTGTTGAAGCGATATCGTCGTCGTCCTAAGCCTCTTGGCGACCTAAGTGATGAAAGCTTGTTTATTTTGGACCCGCTGCCGCCCAGGTTTCACCACAGTCGGCGTTGCTGGGTGGTTCAGGCGATAAATATTGCCACTTATGTTCAATTCGCATTCTAAAAGGCGTTAATATAAATTTTGAAGAACTGAGTGACCAAACTGACCAGTGCTAGCATGCGTGCTATTCTCGTTCGTTGCAACTACAAGGATAACACAACTCAGCAAGCTCTTGGCGCACGACTACTTCAGCCCACTCACAAGGGACTCCCGAGGTTGAAGCTTTGCAATTTCAACTTAGTATAATCAAACTTGTATAAAGGAAGAGCTCTCGCTGAAGGAGTGGGATTATTCATCAGTGAAAGAGTCCATGTTAGTAGAGATAAACCCAACCGAAGAGATAGATAGAACAAGAAGACACTGCGCACTAAAGGCAAAAATCTAAATTGAGTTGAATACTAGCTCGTGAACTCGAAGTGCGAGACTTGACTTTATACCTCTGATCGAAGATAATGCGCCTTCGCTCCGCCCCATTACTCACTCTGATAGATTAGTCCTATTAAGACATAGCAAATGAAATGTGAAACAAAAAAAAGCACCACCATCAATTTACATCTCGCACCAGACGCTTCGACCGTCTGGGCTTAGAAGTGGCGTCTTCAAGTGATAACTTGCGTTTCGGTGGTCGCGTTAGTACCTCAACTCTAAGCATTCTATTGTCAAATGCTGGCGGTCCAATTGTCGAGACTGCCAAGTCTGCGTTCTCGTGTGCCACATTCGCCCAAAATTCCGACGAGGTTATGACCTCGGTGTCGGCATCGGGAATGCCTGACCTAGCCTCGTCAACTTGAGAATCGCATTTATTTGAACCAGAGGATAGTGGATTAGGGCCATCTTCAAGCACTTCTTCTGTGCCCAAGCTGGGAAAACCAGTGTAGTATTCGGCAAATCCACATGCAATAATCCAGGTCATTGGCGGACTAAATTTCCTGAAGATAGCTGAGATGATTTTGCTGGCTTTCTGTGTGTTCATAGGCTAGCGGTTCGATTGTCGAGAATGTCTCGGCCGTGTGCGCTTCAACATCTTCGTGTGCAAGAGTCATACAGAATTCCGTCCCGGATTCCCGCAAGGTCATTCTCTCGGTGTCTACATCAGAACAGTCTGTCCTCTGGGACCAAGCTCCTTCGACGAGAGTCACAGTGGAAATGGTAGCCGAGCCCACTGAAGCAGCATCATCCTCAACCACTATAGGATTGGCCTCCGTACCCGGACCGGGAGACCGTTTCTTCATCGAGGTTATGTATTGGAGAAGTAGAGGGAAAATTCTTATTGTCATTGATTTATTGAGAGAGAGAAAGAGAGAAGAAGAAGAGAGGAAGCTAAAGATCTATACATTACAGAGAGAGAGATCACCTGATCTCCAACATTATGGGCGGACTGAATATTTCCCATAAAGGACACCTGAGATACCAATCCTCATCGGCATGCGTTACGACGGGATTGGAAACTGAGCCCAATGGAGTAAGGCAATACTCAGTACCTAGCCCAGAGGGATAGGTCAGGGCGCAAGTTGGACAGCCTGGCGGTCCAACTATTGGTTTCCGCGTGATCTTGGTATTATCTTTACTAGCACGCGGGTCATTGCACCAATCCTTATCCACATAGATCATAAAAGGACTGGTGGACAACAACAATAGATTGTTATCCGGATCTCCAGGATAATAAGTATCTGGTCTGATGAATCTAGGCCCATATCGTAAAGTCAGCAAGACAGCTACATAAAGGCATTATATAACTCACCCGCTTGGTGACTAGCGCGCATTTTTTCAGCTTCCTACTAATAGCATACAGTGAGAACAGTAGCTAGGTCGATTTCCGCCTCCTCGTTCGGGCGAGGCCAGCTTGTATCGTAAGTCAGGGTCTCCGCTAGCTCACCAATGTTAAGGCGAGGATTGGAAACTGAGTTTGATGGGCTAGACTTTGTGCTACCCAGCTTAGTATCCCAAGGCTTCGTGGATGCTTCACAACTTTTAATAAATAAAAATGAGCATGCTTTCAAGGGGGTTCTTACTAGAGGCTTCCGGCAGTTTATCGGAATAGCTTATTATAACTGGAATAGGTAGTGAAATCGAAGATTTGATGGCTGATATAGCGTAAACTTGGAGATGAATAGAAAGACAATTGTTAATTTTGTGGAGGTGCGAGATACAGACTTTTATATATGGCCGACTGTCCCTATCAACGTAAGGCGGACGTGGTGATCTATTATTATCCCTATCCGGTGACAGTACCCGACAGCGGAGAGAAAGGCGGTGAGTAAATTCAGGGAGGAGGGGGGAGGGTTTGTTAGCATCCAAAGGGGGGTGTCTGTATCAGTCCCCTACATTTATTGCATTTGACATCCGTGTCAACCAATCCAACGATAATGCATTGAAGTCTGTTAAAATTTTCTAATCTTTGAACTGGTTTAGTCTAAAGAGTTTCGTCGTGTAAAATTGATGAATCTGTAATGGCACCACACACGGCAGAAAGCTTCTCAGCGGAAAACAAAAGATTTTGCTCTCTCTATGAGGCTATTCTATCTGCTTTTTGAATGAAGCCGCCCATCAAGTTTGGGAAAGTGTGAACTTTTGCTCTGCCGTGTAAAACTCAATATCTGTACCCGAGTCATGCGCTGGTGGGGTATTTGAGCGCCTTCGCAATGGTTCCTGGTGCGAGGTGGAAATGGCTTTCACTCCTCTCAGGTTTCTGTACTTTGCTTAAGGCAGGTGACGCCATAAGGGGCACATATGCTGGCGTTGATTGAGAGACGTCATCTTGACTCTCTGAGACCTTTGTATAAAGGCCGGCAAAGATAACTCGAGCCTGGGAGCACGTTAGCAGATCCCAGCATGAAAGAAACGTGGGCTGGTTACCTTTCGAGATTTTGGCCATTGAGATATATGTCCTCTGGCAACTGCAAGCTCCTCTCGGGTGAGGACACTTTGTAAGAGGACGTCCAGCCTTGCGCACTTTTATCATCAATCGATCGAAATGCTGGCATTTTGAGGATCGATGACCGCGAATACATGGTTCGCTGGTTCAGGGCATTATCAGCACATCCGCAATAATATTATCAGACAGATAAGTATACCAGGACCACTTAACTCCCTCTTCGTCCAGAGGCATTGTGAAGAGTAAGTGTGATTTTGTCAGTGGCATGGTCAGAGGACCGCGAAGATCGCCAGATGACGATATTCAAGTCCTTGTTGTCGCAAGTGCGTCCTTCCGACCTTGACGAGACGCCTTGATAAGCGTCGGTGGCGAGCGGTGACTATCCTTGATTGTGTTACACACGTTAGCGCGATCTGGTTCCTGCATTGAGTTTTCCTCATGCTTAATCAACTCAAGTTTTTCAGGCTAGCTGATAATACATATAGTCGTATATCACTCTTAATTGTGCACAGCGACGATCAAGATATTTGCAATCTGCCGCTATCATTCCATCATCAGTGAGCGAAACTGTACCGCAAATCTGCAGGCGCGCGTGACTAAATCCCCTCTGAAATTGATCTTATAATTTGGAAACAATAACCGGTATAGCGGTGGAATTCGGGAAGATCCCTTGATCCAAAATAACCAGTACCGATAACTAGGGGAAGGTATTTTTGTGTACGTAAGTTTGTGAATCTACGAGATACGGGTCGACAAATTATTTTCTTCCGAGGATAATTATATAGGGTTTAATAGTGAGCTTCCAAGAAGTTACAGGCTGATGGTGTGATTGGGTAATTAGAACTCACATTTGTGTGAACAGGCTTATCGACGAGCACTGCCGGTCTAAATCCGTAAGTTTGGCCTGACGTGATTGGGGTGGACTGTTTGCCCTCTACCAACAAATACGTAACTCCGTAGCCCATCAACAAGAGTATAGTCGAAATCCAAAAGCGTAAACGAAACCTGCCTCGGTGGCAGCACGAGTGGCAATCTTGTGCATTGACATTATTAAGCTTGAAATAAAAAGGAAAACACATGCCATAGTGCATAAAGGGGCAGTTCTATAGCTTCGCGTATAGCTCTGCCACTGAGTCGATGATCATATCGCGCTTGACAGGATGTGCATCACGCAAAATGTCACGCACTGCTACATGGCTCTTTATCTTCGAAGCTAGCTCTGAACCTTCGCTCTTGAGGCTGCTGGTGTTGCTACTGCCCGTGTTGTTTAGCAGGCTTGAGATAGAACCGAGGCTGCTGTTTTGTGAAGATGAGCGAAGGAGAGAGGATATCTCCTCGCTACTTCCAATTAGATTGTGGATTGAGTTCTTCAGGAGACCAGCGATAGGCACGTTGGCAGGTAGAGTCAACTGACTCATCACTTCGGTATAGTAGGGAACCCGCGTGCCGTTCCACGTTACCGATCTGGTGACCGTGTCTAGGGTCAGGTTTCCAGTCTTGAGCAGACTGGCCTGCGAGGAAAGCACTTCTTCTAGGTGTGAGAAGATTGTCCCGAAATCCAAGATTCCCTTCAAAGGGAATGTGTTGCTGCCAGGAACCAGAGTGACGTCCGTGAGGGTGGCATTTCCAATGACAAGGTCGCCGCTTTTCACATCAAGAACGATGGTGCCGACCTCTAGCGTCAGCACGGAAGGATTTGGGAGAGTCGCGTTGCCGACCAGGTTGGTGCCATCTGGCCGTCGAGCGACGAGGCCGCTGTCGGAGATACTGAACCCAGTGAATTGGTTCAGTGCTAAAAACTATCAGTACCGTTTTTCTAGATTCAGGGTCGGTTCCAAGGCCACAACTTACCAGGGGACGTGACGTCTTTGTCCATGGTGACCTTAGACTTAAGTGCACCGAGGTACGAATTGGTGGTACCCTTAATCGACAATGTAGATTCCTTTTGGAAGACCACACTTTGCACATATTTCACCCAGGTGGATAGATTTTGAAGTGGCGTATGGGTGTCGGACACGCCTAGAGTAGTATTGCCCTTGATGGTAACTCCAGGGATGGTGGCCTCACCCCATGAGCTGGAGGCACCGCGGTCACGCACGAACAGATCCAACTCGATTGGCTCGATGCGTACCGGGAGGGCGATCTTCAGGTCTAAGGCCGACTGAAGGGTCAATCGGATTGAGCTCGGCTGCGGCTGCATTACCGCCGCTCTTACCAGTACTAGGTCACTCTTGTCGACGACCAACTGAGAGATCGCGGGGATGGCTACTAAGAAGCTGATGTGCTGTTAGTTTCGGATGTACGACTGACTCAAGGCCAGATGAACCTGGATTAGCACACAACTCACAAGATAGGCAGGAAAATTGTCAGGAAGATAATGTTGGCAAAGAGATAAATGCACCAGAATCGCTTCCAATGACGCGCCAATTTTTCCTTCCTCGTGCGTTTCTGAGATTGTAGGGAGAGTCCACGGGCCGACTCGACCTGCTCTAGTGCGGAGCTCTCATTGAGCCCTTTGGGAAGCATGGGGCCCCGATGCACCCCGAGCGAATATTTGGCATCATCAGAGGTCAAGTACGCTGGTCGGTCATTTGTGTTTTCCCCCATGGTGACAGTCTGCACATGGAAAAACCAGTAGAATCGTTGGTAAGGAGAGGTGACAGAAGATCATGTATTCGTAGCTAGCGTGTGGAATTAGGAAAGACTAGAGGATTGCATAATCGGGGGATAAGATAAAAGCCCGTGGAGCCAATCCTCCAAACTGGGGGCATTTGGTCCCATCAGTCCCATCCAGTCAGGGCTCATAGTGGATTGGTTGGTGGGGAGCTCACGAGGTTAATGTGTGTGCATGATAGCACAAGAAAGGGAGAAGAAGCAAAAAAGTGGACTGAAACTACATGTTTTCCCGTCCATGTTAGGCCAAAGGTGTGACTTCAGCCATAAGTCACACCTTTGGCGAATCGGTAATTCAGAAAGGCGAAGATCAGCCAGCTCAGATGCTCATTTGCAATAGACTGCCACTGATGACCCCAGAGGGGCGCCAAGGGCAAGACTTCTAAAAGGAAATACACCCATTACGAGGCCCAACATCCCCCTCTCGATCGACCGAGCTTCGCCATTGACCCGTAGCGTCATCGGCAGAAACTGTGGTTAGGCTCGAGAGCCTTGATCCTTTTACAGGCGAGGCTATACTGCACTCTTCTTTTCCTTCTTTTCTCTCAATACCATCCTTCTCAAGTAAAACCAATCTTGTGTCTTCAAGACTTAGCTCTACTTTTCGCATTCTCACTATGTCTTCCACCTCCTCTGTGTCTCCTATAGACGTGTATGAGGCAGGCTTGAGCGGTATAAACAGAACTGAGAAGACCGTTCCCACCACCGACTCTGGTCATCTTCATGCGTTGGAGCAGCTAGAAATCTTACCTCAGATTCTTCAGGAGGGTATCCTCTTTACCGGATCTGGGGCAGCTCTCTTGTTCCAAGCGGCGCTGCCCAGCATCCGCGAAGAAATTTCCTCTGGCGGCCACAAGCAACTCGCCCCCGAGCTCCTAAATGCCCTACAGGCACACATCAGCTACATTTTTTTCTTGGTGTTTGGAACACGCACCGAACGTCTGGTCCTAATCAATCTATTACGCGACAAAAAGGCGCCACTGTTAGGAGGCGGCCACTCCATCCAGTTCGCACCCCACTCCAACCTACAGCTATGGATGGTCGCGACCATATATGCCACCTCGACCGACATCTACCAGCGCATCTACGGCCGCGTCGACTATAACACCGCCCAGCGCGCCTATAGCGAGTTCACTCTGCTGACGAACTACCTGGGTATACACCCAGACACCTGGCCCGCCTCACGCAAGGCATTCTGGACCTACTGGGACCACCAGGTCGCCCAGCTGACTGTCTCCCCCGATGCGGTGCAATTCGCCAAGGATCTGCGCGAGAGTACCGACATGCCGCAGTGGGTGCAAACCATGAAGCCTCTCCTGCGCGGGGTTACTATCGAGATGCTGCCCCCAAGTCTGCGGGAAGCCTACGAACTCCGATCCACGGCGATAACGCGCGCGCTCTATCGGACGTGGATAGGCTTCTCTGTCACTCTGTACCCCGCCATGCCCAAAAAATGGCGTTCTTACCCGCTGAGATTCTACCAGGACTGCCTGAAAGAAAAGTTGAATGTGGTTTGAATTTGAACCTGGTTTGTTGGGATGAGGGGACACTTAGCAGCTAAAAGCTCCGTCGAGCAGCTATAGGCAAGTGAGCACTAACTATCCAGGCGCAATGTGCATTGCTCAGAATGATGGGCAGGCCTTCGTGCCGATTGGGGGGGCTTGCTCTGGAGCTGCAACAGTGTAAGCTCAACTGGAAAGAAGGGAGCCGGGCTTAGGCCATAGGATGTAGTGAAGCAAAGTTTTAAAAGAAATTCCTTTCTTATAGCAAAAGTTAGACAGCAAGTCGAGGTTGAAAACGAGAAGAACCTCAGAAAGGAAAGAAAACTAAAGCAAGAGAAACAGACTCTCACCGTCAGCGTGCACGTCCTGTCATTTTGTTCAAACTCATTGTATAAGCGAGGATAATTTTTCAGCTTAATATTCCCCCACTAGATCGGGACTATGCAGTTGGCGGTTCTACTGGATGCATTAGATAAAATGCCCCTAGGTATTTGTGAAGTGGTCAATGCGTTTGTAGGAGCCTGATGAAAGCAGCAGAGAGAGGCCTAAGCTGAATTGAGATGGATTTCGGACGATATGACATGGATTGCAGATGATGTGCGTAGCAGTGTAAACCACGCCAGCATGTTGGATAGCGACTGGCTGAGATAACTTGCGATTGTCACTGCTGTATCAGGAAAACAATAGCAAGTGGTTCGCCGGAAGTTCTCCGAAAGCTGGGCTGTGGCGCGAGAAACCCTACGATTCCAGTCCCACACAATTGCTTTGAAGATCTCGAAGAAGATCAACGATGGCGTGAATATAACCATTATGATGAGCCTGTTCCTCTCGTGACATCCACTTCCCCCTTTGTCTGCCGCTCTTCGCAGGACTTACCCAACCTTCCCTCTCGCTACTTCTAATCTATCCATACATTCGGTATAACTAGTTGGATCCGCATAAACCTAAATAATACGCTAACCTGCTTTGTTTAACGCGATAGAGAATTACCCCACATGATCTTGTGTTCGGCTGGGCAGGGCTTCGGCGGAGCTGTGGCTGGGTTCACTCTGAACAGTT